ACCTCTTTTGGTCTCACTGTGTGTGAATGCCTGGAGTCCTGTACAATTTATCATGTCCTGGAGGATTTTAGTTAGATCTAGCTTGTACATATGAGAGAAGATGTGTTGGTTTTCTCTCGAAGCTTGGCTTACCTTACTTTACATGAAAGAAAGATTTTTTTTGGAGACAGGGTTGCACTATATATTCTAGGCTGGCTTGGAAATATGGATCCTTCTGTCTCAGCCTCCTCAATGTTGAGATTGTAGGCATGTATCTAGCGTACCTGCTCTGTTAAAAAAAAACATTTTAAGGAAGGACTCTTTCAGCATGTATTGAAAGCCTTCTAGATTAGATATTGGACAACATGCAGGGTTCTATGGTCCTGCAGTGATGGGTAGAAAGAACATGGATTTTACACCCAGAAATGTGAAATCTTTTGGTGTGTGTATGTGTGTGTGTGTGTGTGTGTATGTGTGTGTGTGTGTGTGTGTATTTGTGCTTGTGCTAAAAGCAGGGTTTGAACTTGGGGTCTGCCATTCTTTTTTTTTTTGTCGGTCGTGGGGCTTGAACTCTGGGCCTAGGCACTGTCCCTGAGTTCTTGAGCTCAAGGCTAGCGCTCCACCACTTGAACCAGAGCACCACTTGTGGTTTTCTGATGGTTAATTGGAGATGAGTCTTACGGACTTTCCTGCCTGGGCTGGCTTTGAACTGTGATCCTCAGATCTCAGCCTCTTGAGTAGCTAGGATTACAGGCATGAGCCAACAGCGCTTGGCTGGGTCTACCATTCTTGCTTAGCCTTTTCTACTCAAAGCTGGCATTCTGCCACTTAAGCTACATTTCTTTTTATTTTATTTTTTTATTATTATTTTTTAAATTTTTATTTATTTTTTATTGTGAAAATACTGAACAGAGGGGTTACAATTACATGGGCAAGATAATGAGTTCATTTCTTTTCTTTTTCTTTTTTTTTTTTTTTTTGGGTCCGGTCATGGGGCCTGAACTCTGGGCCTGGGTGCTGTCCCTCAGCTCTTCAGCTCAAGGCTAGCACTCTTACCACTTGAGCCACAGCACCACTTCCGGCTTTTTTCTTTTTGTGTTATGTGGTGCTGAGGAATCGTACTCAGGGCCTCTGGCATGCAAGGCAAGCGCTCTACCACTGAGCCACCTTCCCAGCCCATGAGTACATTTCTTATCAAGCATTGTAGCCTCCTCCTTTGTTTCCCCTTCCCATCCTTTCCCAGCCTCCCCTTAGTCCCCCCCACCTAATCCTCCCCCCCCCACCAAAGTTGTAAAGTTCGTTTTCGACATGACAACTTGTACTTCTCATTGTTGCAATGGGTCCACCTGTATCCTTATTTAAACGACTTGTTTTTCCCCTTCCCCTCCACAAATTATACCGACATCAAATACAGTGAAAGCAGGGGTTATACTGTGGGGGAGAGACATACAAAGCAACTTAAGCTACATTTCTATTTCTGGCTTTTTGTTAGTTAATTAGAGATACGAGTCTCTAAGCATGCTGGGAATGTGGCTTAGTGGTAGAGAGCCTGCTTAACATGCATGAAGCCCTGGACTTGATTCCTCAGTACCACATACACAGAAAAAGCTGGAAGTGGCACTATGGCTCAAGAGGTAGAGTGCTAGCCTTGATCACAGAGAGGCTCAGGAACAGTGCCCAGGCCCTGAGTTCAAGTCCCAGAATTGGCAAAAAAGAAGAAGGAGAAGGAAAAGAAAGAAGAAGGAGGAGTCTCTAAGCTTTGTCTGCCCCAGCAGACTTCAAACTGTGATTCTCAGATCTCAGCCTCCTGAGTAGCTAGAATTATAGCCATGAGCCACTGGGGCTCAGCAGAAATGTACAGTCTTAGGAGAGATTCCTATGTGGTAGTGTAACAATGTATGGAGCACTTAGGAACACAGAGTGGAAGGAGAGTGTGTTGGTTTTGAGTGGTGAAGGATTCAGAAAGAATTAGCATTTATAACTCCATTTCTGTCTAACATAAATGGAGTTATGGATAGGGCCTTTCTCAAAAGCTCAGAGGAGGAAGGCAGCATATAGGCTTTGCTTGTGGTTTGGTGAGTATGTTGTTTAATTTTTATTTGTAATGTTGATACAGAGGGGAAATAAGACTGGAAAGTGAACTGGCTTGTTGAGTGACATACATATTGAGCTCAGGTTTTTCCTTGGCTTATTGGTAAAAGCATCTGGGATGGTAATTGGTTGTTCTAGTGCCAAGATGGGGCAGTGTTAATGACTTTCAGGTTTTCGAGGTGGAGTAGAATAAAGATGATTTACGAGAAAGCAAGCAAGGATGGACCAGTATGATCAAGAAGAAAAGATGTGAGGAAGAGGGAAATGACTCCTTGGGGAGAGGGGCTGGACTTCCAGGACACAATGATCTTAAGGCAGGGCATAGCAGTGGTAGGAAGTTGCTCACTTCTAGCTCATTGTTAGGAAGAATTTTCTGGAAACGTGCCAATAGCTTGAAATTTTTATCAATAAGTCTGGAGTTTTCATGCTTAAACGATTGCCAATTATGAGTTATAATTCCGTAATTGTGTTGGTTCAGATAAGTCTACTGGAATAGAGATCCTTGGTATCTTTATTTTTTCAGGGTTTAATCTTGCCCATTACACATATCCTGTTAAGGGAAATGGTTTTTGACTGAAGGGCATATTTCAAGCACCTTTTAGAATCTCTGAATCTTTGGGAAGTATGAGAATGGATGTTAATCAGTCATGTGTATTAAAACATTGTTTACTTATTCACCACCATTGGTTTTATTTTCATGATAGCTAGGGGAAAATGCTTAAAAGGGCAAATGGCAAGTAGCAGAATAGTAGATGACTACTGGAGCTGAGCTCATGTAGGTTAGTTAGTATTTTTGATAAGGAGAGGCCTTGCAGGGCTATAGCAGGCAGTGGGGAAGGCATGGGAGAGATGAGTTTCTGGCATGGATATAGATCTTTTATTGTGTAACAATAGCTTATTCTTTAAACTGGAAGGAATACAAACAAAGTTGCTTAGCAGTCATGTGGGTGCTAAAGAATGGCCTTTGGAGGATCAGGCATTTGAATAAATTCAGCATTTTCAAGAAACTTGTAAACATCCTAGTTAGAGTGCATCCATTTACTGACCATGCCTTCTTTCTTTCTGATAGTATTATCTTGTTCTGTTTTTCAGCCTCCTCATCTGGAGAGAAAGGGTTAGTGCCTCTTGGAACATTTTTCTCCAGAGGCAGGTGCTGAGAGTTGAGGCTCTCAGAAGGGCTCTTTTCCTAGAGAAAGAAGGGTTATAGTATACAAAGAATACCAAGAGAGGAGAGAAGAGAAAGGAGACCAGTTCCATGCATATAAAACTGATTTGGGCACAACTTCTATTTTTTGACCTCTTTATCTATAAAGTAGCAGTAGTACCTGCTTTCCTAGTACAGTGACTTGATGAATGTGTGAGTCTACTCTAAAACTACAGTTTTCTACTCTAAAACTACAGTTGACTGTATAACGTTATGGAACTTTCCTATCGTTTTGCTAGTTTATATTCTGGCCATAAGAATTATGATTTCTTTATATATTGGTTTTTAAATTTTAAAAACCTTGAGATACTGTCTAGGCTTTAAAAAAAAAATGCAGATCCACAGACTAACTGAGGATATTCTTAGGAGAGGAACCCAAAGGTGTAACTCCTCTGAACATGTAAAATACTATTTATCAAAATGAATTTCAGAAAGTAGAAAAGTGGGGTTTTTTAATTGTTGTTATTGTTGGTGGCTTTTTTTGTATTTGGGGTATGCAAATAGGCAGCACAGAAATAGTGGATGGAAGAAGGATAAACAAAAGCAGTCATAGTATTCAATATATACTATGTAAAAAGTGAACTGTGCAACTTGTGGGCAGGGATAGGAAGGGGAAACTGAGAGAAAGCGAAGGAAAGGTTGACATTGTCCAAGAAGAATTACCTGACTCATGGAATTGTAATCCTTCTGTACAACTCCTTAATTATAACAATAAAATTATATTAAACAAAAACTAAAAAAGTTTTGTATCCTTTTTCCTGCCTGCCTCCCTTCTTTCCTCCCTTATTTACCCTCTCCATTGGCTCTCTCCTTTCCTGCTGGTGCTCACCCCCCCCCAGATAGCCTATTTTACTTTCCTGTCATTTATATTATAGTTTAATTATACACAGTAATTCAAAAGTTCATATGTTACAATTTAGTCAGATTAACATCATATATTGCTCTGTTTCCTCTATATCTTTTAGGCCAGGACCAGTGACTTATGTCTGTAATCCTAGCTCAGGAGGCTGAGATGTGAGGATCTGAGAATCTGAGGATCTGAGGACCAGAGGACCAGAGGATCACAGTCCTAAGTCAGCCTGAGTCTCTGTGAGACTCCTAGCTCCACTGAAAACTACCAAAAAAGCTGGAAGTAGAGCTGTGTGCTATCTTTGAGCAAAAGAAGCTCAGAGACAGTGCCCAGGCCCTGAGTTCAAGCCCTAGGAGTAGTGTGTGTGCGCACGCGTGCGTGCGCGGCCACACACGTACAAACACAGAGAGAATTGTTTAAAAGCTGAATTCAGGAGTAATTATTATAACTTTTTTTTTTTTGGGTCCGGTCATGGGGCCTGAACTCTGGGCCTGGGCGCTGTCCCTCAGTTCTTCAGCTCAAGGCTAGCTCTCTATCACTTGAGCCACAGCACCACTTCCGGCTTTTTTCATTTTGTTTATGTGGTGCTGAGGAATTGAACCCAGGGCCTCAGGCATGCAAGGCAAGTGCTCTACCACTGAGCCACCTTCCCAGCCCTATAACTATTTTTATTTCCTTAAGCAAATTGAAAGGGAAGTAGAACATTATACTAACAACCATCTTGGAGGAGAGTTGAGCTTCAGTCTTCTTATAGCTTACTTACTTACTCAGTATCCTGAGTAAAATGAGGACCTGGGCTAGAGTCTGAAAGGTTGAGCCTTACTTAACCATCACCTTGAACTCATTTCATAAATTTATCAAAAAGAACTATTATTTGTGTTCACTTCAGTAGCACACACACTAAAACTGAAATAATACAGATTAACATGATTCCTGAGCAAGGATGACATGCAAATTTATAAAGCATTTCATAATTTTCAGTTTCTAGCCAAAGAAATACAAATGGCTAGTAGTTAAATTAAGAAATGTTTCAACATATGAAGAAATGTTTCAACATCCTCAGCCAGAAATGAAATGCAAATCAAAATTATACTAATATTCCATCTCACCCCAATGAGAATGGTAATTATCAAGAAAACAAACAGTAGCAAGGGAGATCTTATTATACCAGTGCATTATGAACTTCCTCATGGTTTTTAGCATTTTATAGACATACTATAATTTAACTAGTGGTTGGGAATTTTCATTTGATAAAGTCTCAAATGATTCTAAGCCTGATAAAGCTTGATATGAGAAATGTGTGCTTTATTTTCCTATAACTTATATTTTCATGGTACGCTAATTTTTTTTTTTTTTTGGTCGGTCGTGGGGCTTGAACTATGGGCCTGGGCGCTGTTCCTCAGCTCTTCAGCTCAAGGCAAGCCCTCTACCACTTGAGCTACAGTGCCACTTCCGGTTTTCTGGTGGTTTATTGGAGATAGGAGTCTCACAGTCTCTCCTGCCTGGGCTGGCTTTGAACCACGATCCTCAGATCTCAGCCTCCTAGTAGCTAGGAATACAGGCGTGAGCCACCAGTGCCCGGCGGTACTCTAATTTTTAAGCACATCACATTCTTGTAATTAGCCCTCACAGAACCTTATTTAGGAAGATAATTCCTACACAGATTTTACTAGGTAAATAGAGAAAAAGCCTATATCTATTAATAATTTTGCTAGCTGTTGGTATAGGGCTCTTGATAAAATTCCTCCCCATGCTCTTTTCATGTGCTCCACTGATGACCAAGACAAACTAGCTCAGGTTTTGCCTGAGAAACACAGCCTGCTTTGTAGGGGCTGATAAAAATCTTCATTACTGCATTTATAACCATTACTGTGTTTACTTCCTTGAAACCAATAGAGCGTAGAAAAGGATCTCCACATAAATGAAGCTTTGAGAAACAAAACTAATTTATAAAAAGGTATGCAAATGTTCTTTTTATAGATTAAAAAAGTCTAAACTTAAAAAAATTCTAACTGAAATGTGTATGGTGACTTAATGAAGTTGAAAGAGTTTATTGAGATAAATGTGGTTCCCTAAGTAGTTAACTGTTCAGTACTGAGGAAAATAGAGATTGAACATGTAGGTAGATTTCCTGTTAAGTAAGGTACAACCTTAACTTTGTAATTTGACCTGTTCAAAAGGCACAAATGAAATGGAAGGGACTATATTTTATTTAAAATAGCCCAAATTGCTAATTCTGTACCCACATGATGAAGTGTGCACTTGGTAATATCGACCAATACTAATCACTTATACACTTATGCTATGGGATGCATATTTTTGGTAATTACTTTGATCTTTAAATTAATAATATTAATTGTACATATTAGTAGGGTTCTCTGAGATAGTATCATACAGGAATCAGCATGCACTGATCCATTCCAACCTCCCTTTTTTCTACCCTTCTTCCTCTATTTTTTCAATCTCAGTATACTATATTGAGATATTCTAGTTTTTTCCTATTTCTGCAAGAGTCTCTTGACTTCATTCTCTTGTTTGTTTACTTTTTCTGCTGGGGATAAAACCTAGCACCTCTTTCATGCTGGGCAAATGCCTTACAACTAAGAGTGTTGGGCTTGAGGCTGAATCCTAACACTTGGGCTTCTAGCTGAACCTCAACACTTCATTTTCCCTCTTTTTTGCTGCTACTGGCTCTTGAACTCAGGGCTTCACAATCTCACTTGACTTTTTTTTTTTTTAAGTTCAAGTCTGGGACTCTGCATTTGAGACACATCTCCTTTTGTTGGTTAATTAGAGATTAGAGTATCAGACTTTTCTCCCCCCCCCTCCCCCCAGCTTCAAATCACAAGCACATGACCATTTTCTTTTTTTATATCTTTATTTTGTTTTTCCTTTTGGTAGTATCCTTTTGGTGGAATTTGAACTGAGGATATCATGCTTGCTAGGCAGGAGATTTGCCACTTGATCCATACCTCTAGTCCATATTTGCTTTTTATACTTAAGCTGAAACAGTGTAATCATAGAATTTTAGAGGTTTGAACACTTAGAGATTACTGATTAAAATTTGATATGGTTATACTATATACAGTTATATATAGTTTATCTATTCAATAGAATAGATAGAGAATAGATAGAGAAACTGAAGTCTAGAGAACTTGAGACTTGCCCAGGCCACCTGCCTTATTCAGAGTGCTGCACTGCAGCTGCCCTGTACTAAGTTCTTTCTCTAAACAAGCTCTAATTGGCTGACTATGCCCTACTTTGGGAAAAGGTTAATTGTGAGCACATTCCTTTGTTCCCAGTCCTTTTCTTTGTAAGGTGGGCCAGTTAATAAGAGACAACAAAGTATATTATGTTCATAGACTGCTTATAGAGTCCAGCTCATAAGAGGTATATAATATTGACTTGTCTGAAGTGAACCAAAGTGGAGGACTGAGAGAGATTCATGAGTAACAGGTAGGGCTGCAGCTGAGTACGCCTCACCCCATATTTGCTGGCTTATTTTTCATCTTTCTCTACCGTGGATAGGAAGCAGTTATTTTGTTCCCAGCCCTTAAAATATTCTTTATCTTCCTTAGGTCCTTTCCCACAATCTGTGCACCGTGCTGAAGGTCCCACATGATCCTGTTGCCCTTGAAGAGCACTTTAGGGATGATGATGAAGGGCCTGTGTCCAATCAGGGGTATATGCCATATTTAAACAAGTTTATTTTGGAAAAGGTATGATTCTAATTTTTTTCTCCTTTACAACTTTGTTTAATTGATGTTTACATGTGTGGTATGTATGTTTGATACCTATATGTGATTATCTATCCTGTCTGTCTATCTATCTATCTATCTATCTATCTATCTATCTATCTATCTATCTATCTATCTATCTATCATCAAGTGTACTTCAGAATTTCTTGTTGGTGATTTCATGGAGGAAGGACTAGCCATGGCTTCAGTGGCAAAGTGCTTGCTGAGCAAGTATAGAGCTCTGAGCTCACACCATAAAAAGATAAATGAGAAAGAATGAGAGATTGGAGCTATTTCTTATACTTACTCTACTCTCTTCTAAAACTTGGATATTGATATTTTCCAACAATGGGTTGTTATATGAAATTAAGAACTGCAGTTTTCATTAATCTGTACTTGCCTACTTTCAGGGTCCTTCATTTATTCTGAAAAATATGTTTCTTTGTGTTGGCAGTTGTGTTAAAGGGTTAGTGGGGTAGAGTTAAATATAACTACTAAAGGGGCTAGTAATTATCTTTGCTATGTTTTATATTATATATATATATATATATATATATATATATATGTTAGCAAACTTTCTACCTAGGGTTTTCAAGGTACCACTTGGATGCTTCATCTGGGCTATATTCAGAGTAAAGGTGACAAAAACTTACCATGTGCCGGGCACTGGTGGCTTATGCCTGTGATCATGAGGCTAATATTTGAGGATCAAGGTTTGTAGCTAGCCCAGGCAGAAAATTCCCGATGAGACTCTTACTTCCAGTTTAATCACTCAAAAACCAGAATTTGCACTGTGGGTGAAGTGGTAGAGAGCTCACCTTGAGCAAAAGAGCTCAGAGATAGAGCCCTGAGTTCAAGCCCCACAACCAACAAAACAAAAAAACTTACATTGTGATTGGAAGCCATATTTAACCTATTGACATTTGTATCATGTTCAGTTTTTCCCTTGGGTTGAATCACTAACAATTTACAAATGAAACCGGTGCTGGTGGCTCATGTCTGAATCCTAGCTGCTCAGGAGGTTGACAACGATCTGAGGATAGTGTTTTGAAGCCAGCCTGGGAAAGAAAGCCCATGATACTGTTATCTCTAATAGACTACTCAGAAAAAGCTGAGGGCTGGGAATGTGGCATAGTGGGAGAGCGCTTGCCTAGCATGCATGAAGCCCCAGGTTCATTTTCTCAATATAGCATATACAGAAAAAGCTGGAAGTGGTGCTGTGGCTCAAGTGGTAGAGGGCTAGCCTTGAGCAAAAGAAGCTCAGGGACAGTGCCCAGGCCCAGAAAAAAATTATATGAAAATATGTACACATATACATAGTACATGGTATTTCATCTCTATGTGACTATGATTACACTGTACATATATTTCTACAACAATAAATTAGTGTCATTGTTCCATGTTATGCACATTAACAACAACTGCCAACAGAGGGAATTCCTGTTTTTACCTACTTACAATACCAGACATGAATTTTTTTTGGGTAACACTTCAGACAGTGTCTTTCAGTAGTGATAATGATAATACTTTTAAATTAAAATTAAAATATGTAAGTCTAGTGCTGGTGGTACTTGCCTGTAATCCTAGTTACTCAGGAGCTATATCTGAGAATCACGGTTTAAAGCCAGCCCCAACAGGAAAGTCCGTGATATTCATCTCAAATTACCACCAAAAAGCCTGAAGTGGAGCTATGACTCAAATGGTAGAATGCCAGCCCTGAGCAAAACTGCTAAGGGACAGTGCTCAGGCCCCTGTACCCCCACACACATGCAAAAAATATGTTTCAAAAACATTTTTCCAGGGCTAGGATGTAGCTCAGTGGCAAAGTGCCTGCCTAGCAAGTGTATAATCCTGGGTTTGATCCCAGTACCAAAAAAGAAAAAAAAATACAGCTTTAAAAACAACACATTTTCCGTCTAAATGTAGCAACTATTTATGTATTTTTCTATGGCTTTTTCATATTTTTGTTGCCAAGTGTATTTTCTTTTTTTTTTTTTTTTTTTGGGTCCAGTCGTGGGGCCTGAACTCTGGGCCTGGGCACTGTCCCTCAGCTCTTCAGCTCAAGGCTAGTGCTCTACCACTTAAGCCACAGTGCCACTTCCGGCTTTTTTCTTATGTGGTGCTGAGGAATCGAACTCAGGGCCTCGAGCATGCAAGGCAAGCGCTCTACCACTGAGCCACCTTCCCAGTCCTTGTCAAGTATATTTTAAAAAAGTAAAAACTGTATGTGTGTGTGTATAT